AAAAAAAAAAAAAAAAAAAAAAAAGAAAAGACAAATAAAATGGTACAACATGGTATTCGTATAATTTTGAATAGAATACAAATATACGTTTCTAACTTGTACCTAATAACTTTTTCAAAATATTAATTGCTAGGAAAAATTTATTATCAGACTCCAAAGACTTTTTAATTATTTTGATCGCACACACCTTTTTCTTTTTTAATTTTATGCATTTTTATTTAAACGCTGTTTTGTTAAGTCATATTCAATAATTTGTTGTCATCAGTTTCATAATCAATTCTTATTAAAGCGTCGAGTGAAAATATAAAAGAGGAATAGTTAATCCAAATAATCATTAGTCGAGTCAATGGATAGTTATTCTATTAGATATATAGTGAACCACTAAATAAAACAATCTTAATAGGAACAAAAAATAAATTATAAAATCAAAGGAGTTATTTGATTTGGGTATGACTGTGTATCATTCTTATTGCTTCTTCACGATAACTGTGTTCATAGTTCCATGAGCATTACGAAGTACGTGCTTCTAGCGTAAAATGCATGCTGCATAATAAGATCATCAACGTGGGTCATCAGTAATCTACGCAGCGTTAACGAGAAGACATAGAAAATCATGGCGACGTACAACACGTTCGAATGTACAAAATTAGAAAACCCTTTCGTGTACTTCTACTGTTGTCAATTTGTCGTTAATTGAAAATAGTTTTTCATGATATCGTATAAAAGAAAAAAATTAATTCTATTCTTGACTGCCAAAAAGCTGAAAGCGAAACTTTCATTTTAAAATATTTTATTAGATTTCCAACAAAAAGTAAGAGTAATATATCTACATACTTGACCATCTTTTTTAATGTGATGCCCCCTTTAACTCATACATAAATATATGTTTACATAAATATAACTAATACTTAAAAAGCTTATTAAGAACCAATACATTAATTTTCATTAGAAGATAAGTATCTACCTTTGAAGATAGATAAATGAAGAAAGGTATTTACCTTGAAAAAAACAAATCATAAAAAAACAAAGCAGAATTTTTAACGTCGTAAAGGTATAAATCTACTAGTAACGGAAAAACAACTTACCGGTAATGACGTCAGCTGTGGAAGGTAAGCCGGATCTCAAATTTCCCCCACGAGTAGTCAATCCGTGCGAGAATAATTCACCGCTTCAGTCTCGAGTGCAAATCACGTACATGTGCGCGCGTAATCACGCACACATGCGTACGCGTGCACATATGTGAGTATACCAACCGATCTATTTATAAATTCTATATCGACTTTTTAAAAACTTTTGCGAAACACGCTACTCCACATTATACTGTACGTCGCGCGAACTTTTTGCTTCTATTCTCACTAAGCTATTCCCTTCGTAAACTCTTTCTTTTTCTTTATCATTTCCCCTTTCTTCCACTGGTACTCACACTGTCTTCATTTCTTCGTTGTGACGTTTTGTTTCTTTTTCTTTCTCGCCACCTCTTCCTTCTTCTCTGTTGCTCGCTCGTTGTTTCTCTCTCTTTCTCTTCCTGTGTTAGCTTACATACACTTTCATGCGTTCCACGCCACTCGGTTTCGTACACTCGTAACACAACTTAACTGACTTTTCAAATTTCTTTCTTGCGCTGTTGCTCCAGCGACGATTTCTGTAGATAACAGTTGGAGAAATATCAAATTAGTATCTGCTGTTTAAATCTTCCCGCCAAGCTGAACACACATAAAGGGACATGCGCGCGCATTAATACACGCGATTATGACTTTTATACAGAATTTTTAGTTACGGTACTACGAAGGTAAAATAGAGAACTTCGATTGTTAGGATTATGAAAAATTGGAATTGAAATTGTTTAATTAAATTGTACATTTCTGCTACGGTTTTCGAATTTTTATCTTAAGAAAATTTTTGAAGTGGTTTTTCCATATTTTCTTCATACTTACTAACTTAAGAAATTTTTTAATCTATTTAGAGATTTTAATACATATTCTGTTGAAATATCTATAAAATGTATTTTCCATTTTTCTAAATATCTCAGAAATATTGAAATAACTCACAATCGCCGTTCACATGCTAAAACATGCTATAGATTTGGTTGTACAAATTTTTCCTACATTTCGTACATGTATCGAAGGAACAGTGTGATTTAACACTCGCACGGCCATCGATAACTCTTTTCAAGCCCAAGAACTAATTTTCTTTCATTTATCTTCTTTCTGAACTTTTTACGAAGTATGCTAAGAAAATATGAGCTATAGTTTGAATAATGTGAAGTCTGTTGAAGAAATCTGTTAAAGACGCAATATAATCAGTTTTTTAATGACAAGCCTAAATAACAAAAGATGTGAGAAAACGATTTCCGCGATAAGAATATACATATATATTGACTTTATCTTTAATGATGTCATATTTAATCCAATAAACTAGATATCTGAAAACATTTGGTAGTCCAAAAAACGATGTGCCATTGTAGATATAAAAATACTTAACTTCAACTCTTCTTTGACTATAGTCGATTTCTGGAAGTGTTATTTATAGCCTATATGTGAAACAAATATTCAAAACTACGATATAACATAAGCACAATTACATAAATAGTAGTATCATAAGATATAGATCTAAACAGATCCAGCGACGGCCATGCGAGTGTCCAGCACCGATCGTCTCAATACATGTATGTATGTATTTAGGAAAGTATACCTTCATTATTGTGGGGGAACGCGACGCGGCTTCTATACGACGAATTTTCATTTGCATTATCCTTCCAACGTTTTAATTGCGTGTGTCACCATTATACGATATATACTTAACGAATGTTACTCGATCGAGAAATAAAAAGGTGAGACTTTTCGGTAATCAACAGAGAGTAGAACAGTATATACATATATAAAATAAATGAGTGAGAGTCGAGTCAAAGAGTTTCGAGAAAAAGAGAGAGAGAAAGGAAACGAGGTGAAACGAAACGAAACAAGAAAAAGAGGGAAGGGATGAGAGAAAAAGGTAATTGTGAAAGATGCCGCGTTGCCGTCGCTGCGAATGCCAATTTTGTCTTCTTTTAACCGACTGACCCTATCACCGATTAGGCGGAGCGCGTTGCACTCCACTTGTTCTCACAACTTCCGGTTCAGCTGTTCGCACAAAGGTCCGCATATCTTTCAGTGCCCCGCTCTCCACGAGAGTCTTGGTGGCTTCTATCTCTCTGTCTCCCGCTTTCTCTTTCTCTACTAGTACTCACAAATCAGTGTGAGTACACCTCGCTGAAATACAACTGCTCGACAATCTCATCATCACTGTTGCCACGTGGCTCACACTTAACAACTTCCACACTATATTCCACTCGCGGTTCATCGTTGCTGTTAAAACCATTGTCATTTCCTTTTTGCTTACTGCCAGTAGTGTCATCTGTATTTATTTCGGGGTTGTCGTTCCTACTGCTGCTACCGCTACTACTGCTGCTACACCATCCGTTATCACTCCCGCAATAAAACAAATTTATCGTCAAACTCGCTTTCATTATGCAGTTCTTCTATCGTCTGCTATTATCGTGTTGTTTTGTTGGTTTTCCTTTCGACCCGATGTTCCTTCGTTTCATACTAGCCTAGCACAGTGCGTGTACGATGCACGCACCGTGCACGCTTCCGGTACACGTGACCCAGCGCGCTACCAAGAGAAAGAAATTGGATGACTTTCAAGATGGCAGAACGAGAAACACATACGCGCACAGTTTCAGCGCATACAGCAACTGACGACAACTGGTTGCATCAAAGATATCCGAATCGATGTCGTTTTCTTCTTAAAGTTTATGCCATTCGATCCTTTCTTTCCACCACTAATGCTATTCTTCTTTTGTTTCTTCTGTGTACTTCCTTCGTTTCGTTTCCATTCGTTTCTTAGTTTTTTTGTACTCTTGGAGTTAATAATTTTGTTCTCTTCCTCTTCTTAATGTTTGACCATAGCTTTTAATTTGGTGGATGAATTACTTGGCATATAGGGACATTTCATCTTTAGACATCCACTCGTTCTTGAATCTCTGTAGCGGTGATAATGGCAGCAACGGCAATATCCCCGGCAGTATTTCTGTAAATAAAACGCAAGTTATTGATATTTTGCTTATTTGTCATAAAGATACTTTATTTTAAATCAATTTTATAAATCATAATTTTGTAACGATTATTAATTATTTGACTACGAATATCTGCAATATCTTTGAAAGAGAGATATGATGCATATTTTACTATATGTACATTTACGATTTATATTAATAGAATGAAGGAGAATTTCTTAAGGATTCAAATAAATGAAGAACTACAACTTAGATATGAAAATATACTTCATCCTAATGAATTAGTAAACTTATTTGAGATTTTAAAAGTAATAAAAATTCTCTTTGTGACCACATGTATAAATTGCTATTGAATAAGAAGAGAACAAAGACCTTGTAAGATAGTAAATATACACTTTCATACTAAAATGCGTTTTTCGTACATAATTGCACACACCATACTAATGCGTCTTTGCGATTAATATTTGATAGCTCCTTCCAGAAGATAGTTCTCGTATCTCTAAAATCATATTTCAAATAAGAAAGGAGAAATTAAGGACTTTAAGCTTTATCCTCATGTATAACCTACGTGTAACCTAATGAACATTTTTTCGCTATGATCATGAAAGATCAGAAAGATATGTGAACCACTACTTAAATTTTAATAATTATACTTCATTATTAATACCATGTATATACTTAAATATTAATTATCGTCTTTAAATAACAATTGATATTTAAGAATTTACATTTATGAATTTGATAAAAGTAAAATATTTATTATATATTTAAAATAAAAATTAAACGCGTGCACAGTAAATTCTTTCGCCTACATTGAAAAATACATCGCGTTTAAAATCAAAATATGTCATCTTGAATGCAGTGGAAACGATCGATCTTCGTAGTATGTATACCACAGAATTATGTATATATATTGCAGAAAAAATTATATCAAATATACATACAAAATATTTATATTGGAAAAAATAAATAATAATTATTTCCTTAAGTAATAACAAATAATAAGTAAGCTTTATTTGCTATTGTATGTTAGATAATATCGATATTTTGAATGTGTGTGTGTATTTAAGCTTTCTATAGATCTAATATAAGAATAGAGGTCTTTTACCTTGCAAGGTAAAGATATAGCTACATTTCATGAAGTGCTAGTAGCGCACTTATAAGACTTGACTTATGAAAGATTGCGAAACAACAACGTTCAGCCAAAAAGATGGATGAACATAAACACGTTACATCAAAACGCTTTCGTAACAAGATATAACGATGAAAGTCGCATAGATAAACAAATCAAATAAAATAGTAACGGGAGAAAGAATCGAAAAAAGTAAGATCATAATTTAACGCACAGATGTATAACGTACTATATATAACTGTATCTACATAGTAATGCATAATTATACAAGGATTTACACCTTAATTAGTTATATTGTCAAAGGTAATACAACTGTTATATTTAAGATTGTCAGTAAACTTATACGAATAATTGACTTCTACATCTTCTTTAAATACATTCACATAATTGTTTCAGTTTAAACAATTCCAACTAACTATGTCACTCTATAATATATTTCACAAATATTTAATGTTTAATTTAATGTGTGAAATAATTTTATGTTTATATGTAAAACAGCTCAAACCCTGATTTGCATTTCTTTGAAAGTCTGCTATTACGTCTCAAAACTGTAAAAATTTACACATTAAATTCAAGCCTATGTAGATAACAAGAAACACAATGCTCCTTGACTTTTTCCCATGTAAAATCACGCATAATTCTATCGTAAGCAACATTGAACGCATTGCAGATGTGTCTACGCCTTAAATATAAAATTAATTTCTACGTAACAGACAAACAGAAGAATCTAGTGCTATGTACTAAGTCGATATTTTTTATTTATAAAATTCATTCACACACACATAAAACTTTTAACGATACAACTTCATAAAAAAATTACATTGTAGTGATCTATATTTATATATTTATTTTAACTATCGCCTAAATTTTTTGTAAATTTAGGATATCCTTTTGGAACGATATTATTCAGATTATGATAATTCTAAGGAAATTCTGGATGCTAATTTAAGTTCTCTTTAATACTTCCTAACAAAATGTATTAGTTGTTTCTATGAAAAAATATTGTCAACGTAACTATTGAAATATATGTATCGTGATCGATACATAGAAAAAGTATATAAGCCTTATTCTGATTTAAAAAGTATTTTAATTTGTGCTTTGTAAACGTATATACTTTTTAACCAATCGCATTATAAGGACACAAATTAATGATGCAGCTTATAATGAAATTACACTCGCGTATACAATTAAGAGAATTCTAACCTCAATTTTTCAAACTATATAAAGTTCATGCAATCTTAAAAAAAAGGTATGATTACATTCTACCCTGAAAATGTGGTTCCAAAACCTGTTACATAACTTTAATCAGCCATTTGAACGCGTAATGTACAGGTAAAAAGTTAAAACCAGTTTATACTTCCGAAAATAAATATTCTTCACTAATATAAATATAAACATAAATCTTATATATGGCGTATTACACTGTTTTGCCATATTTTGCATAATTGAAAAAAGTTACATAGATATAGGAAGATGAAACATTATTAAAGAATTATAAAATATTCTGAAGATGATAACAATATATTTATAATTATTGTATTATAAGATAAGAATAGATTTATCAATCTAATGATTAGGTTTTAATACCCCATTTTAAAATGGTCACTGTTTCTAATAGTCATTGATAGAATACTTAATTACAGTAAAAAATTAAATTATTATCCTAAGAAGATCATTTTAAGCTTGCTTCATCTCAACGAATTAATCAACTCTTCCTCAACTCCTTAGTTCATCGCGTGTACTAATACATGTTTACGATACCTCTTTTTCAAACCACTGACATGTAAAAGTCTAGTGGTGTAACATCAAGTTGTATAGATCTAAGTATTTTTTTATCCATATTTTCTATTTTTGTTATAAATTTGTAATACAGCTTCAAATAACCTATATTTAAGCAATAATTTTTTCTTATTTATATTCATTGAAGATCCTAATCAATTTTCGTTAGAAAAAATTGAACCACTTTATGTTGATTATCTGGAGGAAATCTGGTAACAAATAAAAAGTTACTAAAAGCGACAATGAATATCCTAGAACATTACTATTCTCGTTAGTATTAAAACTAATAATAACCAATACAGCGACGTATAAAGCGTACAAGAATTCATTCCATTCCCGCGCGCGCGCTGAATACATTCCATCCGAATTATTATTATCTTGCTAAACCTAGAACGGTCGATAGCTCCGCAGTCGTTGTGACTCAAAGTCGAGCCGAGTCGAACCGAGAAGAGTCGAATCAAACCGAACTGGACTGTACTTTTGTAGCGCGTCAACGCGTAAAAAGGGCGAGTGCGAAGTGATAGATCATACCAATAAAAGGACTGTATTTTATTTGAAAACTCTTCTGCGCACCCCGATACGACTTCCTAATTATGTCACTGCCATATCGGAAGATATCTCGAATTATTTAAAAAGTACTTTTAAATCATTATTTTCAGAAACAAGAAATGCCAAAGTATAGATTAATTACTAATAAAATTACTGATTTTATTAGCCACGAGCTGGCTAATTATTACTATATATATATTATTACTACATAGATCGCATGATGCGTTCATCAAGAAATTGTATAATAAATCAAAGCATAGATTTGTACATGATTTACATTTGAAATTAATAAAATTTATTAGACTTACTTTTAAGGATACTTAGATACCCTATTAGTAATACTTAGTAATACCCTAATAGTAATTGAATACGATTTTAAGTACTAGAACTAGAACCTGCATATAGTTGGTATCGTTATCCATATTATTTTATTCTTTTGCTTTTGCTTCTTAATAGCAATCCATAGATGATTTCATTACTTTTGAACCGCATTTGCAACGAGAATATGGTTAAAATATATTTAAAAATATGTCATCGTGTTTATTAATGCAATAAACATACAGCAATAAAGTGCATAGGATTTACCCATAATCCATTTTTTATGTCTATGACTTCATACGCAATGCGCATATACGGAAGGAAAATAACCACACATTAAAGGAGAAATACACACACACATACAATATATTTTGCATGTATACATAAATTTAGTTCACATTTTTCTCCATTTTTTTTATTTGTTTGTACTTCCTACATCAAATTTATAAATATTCAATGATATTTATATAATATAGACAAAATTATTCATCGTTAAAGAATCTGATTCCAAAAATTGCATAATTCAGAAACTATACGTATTCATGCTAGAAGATGGATTATATAAAATAAAATAGTGGCTACATGCGAAATTAAATATGTACTACAACATTTTGCGTATACAAGATGAACTATGAAAATGGTACAGATGTATTATACAAACACGAATATAAATAATTTGTTCCTTTTCTAATGTTATGGATAAAATAATATTACAAATAAAAATAAAAAGGAATAATTTTGCTTATCTATTATGACTCATTTAGAAGTAATAACAAGTTATAGTATACTCCTCACGCGGAAATGTACAAAAATGATCCATATTTCTAAACCGAATAGCAAACTTTAATTTCTCAGTAATCATCACGTTTAGAAACAAATATAGTAGTCATACGAATAACAATCAAAGAAATATGAAACAAGAAATGATATTAAAAATTCTAATTAATTTAAAAATTTTTCACGATTTTAGTTTTTACATTAGGTTAAGATATAATTTACAGGTAAGGTATAAATTTTTATTGTTATTTAAATATTGTAAAGCAGTAATTTTATATATGTATAATAGTTCTACATTGATTTCCTTAAATTTAGCATTATGCTTTTGTTATATATAAATCTTGACAAATATCAAGCATTTATATTCTAAACTTTTGAATAAATTCAATGAAATATACCTAGAAAATATTATTAAATATACTTTGTGGAACATAATTTCATATTGATTAAAAAACATATAATTTACTAGGCATTTAAAATATTTCATAAATACGATTATAGAATAACAATATGTTACAAAGTTTTTATGTAATGTTACACTACTTTCTCATAATATTAAAATTGTCCTATTTCATTAAAAATATTCTTTAAAAACTGAAACTAAATATTTTTTTGAGATAATACAAAACTGGTAAAACAAACGAATGACTCACAAATATTATCACAGACATAAAAAACATATGGAAGGCACTGAAAATTTCACAAAGATGTTTAACATAAATGGAAGAGAAGTGTTTCGATCTTTTGTAGTGCCTTAACCTGAATCCTTTTGATTTTAAAAATCAAAGTATATATTTAAAAGAGATGTGTATAACAAATCTTTAGTAATAAATATTGGTAGAACTGACCAGTACCGAGAATTTATCAAGAAGAAGAAAACTAGATAAACTGCAATCATGAAAGAAATATTTTAGATAAAAATAAATAAAATTTTGCAGTACACGACATGACTAATTTTCTATGTCTGTACTGATAATTCTACGCATGATTATCGATATCGACATAAAATTAATAGCAATTCTAAAGTATTTCTTTTATCTGAATCAAACAAATAAGGAGAACTATCCATTAACAGCGAGACGCAAAGGGTAAGGATACAACGTGTGAATAATATTGTAAAATATGCGAAATCAAAATCAAATTCTGCGAACGCAGAAATGCAAAAAATCCAAGTTAAAATCACAGGCTCGCACTTGATATGAGCAAAAAGTCGCAAATCGAAAACTAGTATATTGTGTCAGCGATAATGTGAGCTAAAGTATGAGCCAAAAGTCGTAAAAGATAAAAATAATAGAATTACATCCTGGACGAGTAGAAAACTTAAAGAACAAAATTAAAGTCACAATCTAAGAATCTCCTTCCATGAACCAAAAATCGCAGAATCCTCTTCAAAAAAAAGCATAAAAATGAGAAAAAAAGGTCAATTTCCAATCAATAAAAAAATTCAGAGAACTAAAATATGCAAAAATTAAAATTGCAATATAATCATCGCATTTTGTATGAGTTCTAAGGAATCTACCATTTCAGAGTTTAAAATTTTCTTCTGTCATCTTGTTCATAACAATTAATTTTATCCGAATTTCATTTTTCACAAAGCATCGTATAATTTATTTCAAGAATAAAAAAATAACATAAAAGAAATTCTATTATTCGTGTTCTAAAATTTAAAAAATCTAAGATTAAAAAGATTATATGAAAAAATTAAATGTAAAAAGAAGAAAATTTCAAAGACACAATGAATTAGAAAAAAAAAAACAATAGATCTCGTTTACAATGCGAAAATTCGAAGAAAATCCAAGCCGAGTATTTATTGAAATACCAATACCGCAGCATCGAACTGCTCTACCCGATCAAAGTACTTTGCAGATAACTGATAAGGTACTCGATTCTCGTATGGTTCACTTACATAACTGTAGGCGTGTACTCAAAATTAGATAGTCGACATCCTCAGTCGCGATTTTTAGCTCACTTTTCGAATAAGCAATAAAATTTTGTAAAGCTCCATTCGTAGGGAATCAACTAAATTCAGTGGAATTACATGCATATGTGTAAGGTTAAGAGAAACCGTTGTACCACGAAGTGGAAAGTCTTCAACTTGAATCGATTTAAAAATAGAGTTAAACCTAAATGTCACTAACATTGAATAAAAGAAGTAACAGGAGTATAGTAAAGCGAAGAATCGTTTAGAATCTCTTCTTCTCCAACACATATGCAGGAACGAGGAAAATCAAAGAAATTGGTCAGTGTTTAAATAAATGAAAACATTCCTTTAACCAAAGATATTCGCAATTATCAGAAGAACTACCATTTTTTATCACTTAGCTAAAACGTTATAAATCACAACGACTAGTCTAATTAAAACGTAATATTGTTGCTCACGAGAGAAGAAACGTTAAGGAAAACAAAGATTGATATAATGCAAACGAACGAGACACGTCATCATAGGTTCAACAGTTGCGATCATGAGTTCGCTTGTTCCCCAGGCGGTAAACGTTTCACGAAAGAAAGGGTTGATCGTGTTATAATTCATCCATTCACTATATCGATAATATTTCTTTTTACATTTTCATTTTTCGGACATATAACAATTATATAACATACGTACGATTTTGTTCGTTAATTAATCACACGCTGCACGTTGTTATCTCTTCAAGTTCACACGAAAAGTGGTCGGAATAAGATATCGCCTATTATTAGATTCGCTATTTCAGGATCTTGAATACTCTTCAGCACTCTCACCACTGCTCCGGGACATCATTATAAAATGTGAATCTCGTGTATCAAAGGAAAGAACTTTGCGAGGAACACTTGTGTTGCGATATATCACGAAAACACACAGAAGTTCGTTGAGACGACACTTTTTTAAAAATCGTTGCAGGCAAAAAGAAACACGAGTACACGAATCTAAATACGCAGGTAGCCAGAAAATAGAAGTAATACACTCGGTCGGTAACTTCTAAACACCATGGAGCACCACTTAAACACGTTATTCTTGAAAATCTTAGAACACAGGTTAAAATATGCGTGAACGGCGACAAGACTTGTTTGGGAACTGCAAGAAGAAACATGAACGAGAGAACATGTATAATTGTGCCCGAAGGGCCGAAGAACAAGTGAAACAAATAAAACTACCACGGCACGAATAAAATGAATCGATGAGAACGACCAACGAATGAACGAACGACCGATTAGAACGCACTTCAAATGTTGCAGATGAACATTACGAGCGACGTACACGGACAGCACATATTACGGAATCGTTTCCAGCTACGATGCTATCAGAATGCATGGATTTCACTATTGTACACTTCGTAATACCACTATATAACTGTTTAGGCTTAGATACAGGTGCAGATGTATTCGTTCTCTCTCTTTTTCTATTATCTCCCTGTTTATCTTATACCAAGAATAAACAGAATAAATATGAAAAGGAAGAGGCGGTAGAAAAAGGTAGACAGGGGAGAGGAAGAAAGGATAGAATGTGGTTTATAATATAAATGAGCACTATAAAATTAATAGTATATGTAAGAGACTAATTAACTGTATCATACAAAGGAGTATCACTTTAAAATGATATTATTCAAATCAGATTAATTCTAAGGAAATGTTCACAAATAAATACTGAAGCATTTTTGAAGAAATCAAATCTAGCTTCCAAAGAAAAAATATTGCCAATACAAATGTTGAAACTTCACTAAAAATTACTCATATATACATATGGTGTTCTCAATGCACAGATAATTCATTTCGAATATTCCCGTACAAAATCAAAAATAGTATTCTATCCGAAAACGAGAAGAATAAATCTGAAGAAAGAGTAGAAGAAAGGTGGAGGAGAAGAAAGGATAGAATATACTATGCAATAAGAATTAACAGTATATGTACACAAATTCAAGCATAGCTATACAAGAGAATAAGGATAAATTACACACATTTACGTATATTGTTGAAAGAAAGGAAGATAAAAGAAAAGGATTGTGTACGTGTGGTCGTGTACGAATGTATGTACATATACATGCGCACGCGCGCTCGTATATGTGTATACGTGTATATGTAGATGTGCGCGTATGTGTATAAGAGAAAGAAAAAAAGAAAAAAGAACCTGAGAGACTACGTTTAGGCAATATTTTCTTCTACACCAACATTTCTTTTCGTCGATCACTAGTTATTTAAGAGTTTCTTACACTCCGTCGAGGAGCGTTCAACACGACCGGGGAATGTATCGGTTAGTTTCACCACACACATTTCTCTTCTCTTACCCGAAACTAGTCCGTGCGTATATTCCAGTTGCGGCAACCTATGGTGATTAAAAAAAGCACTCGCGTCTCACATTCGCGACCCCAACGATAAGGGTAAGTCGAAAATCGTACGGTCAGTCCAACGTTTTCAGGGCCGCCAGGTTAACGTCACGAAATCCACCGACACAACCATAGATCCCAAACGGTGGACGGACGGACGTAAGGACGGACGGCTGGC